TTTTTTTCTTGGACCAAATAAAATAATAGGATAATTTATGATAAAATGTGGTACCGTTTTCGAACGGGTGTCGTAGGGTGCTAACACTTTCCCTACGCACAGTCGACTCCCGAACCAAAATCTGTTTTTCGTAGATCAAGTTTTTAAAATAGGTGACAAATCACACCTTGTAGATGATTTGTGGCGACTCCAAACTCATATCTCGAAAGAGACCCTTCAGGAGATGACGTCGGCCGCTCCGCGTCGCGATGACGTTGCGACATCATCTACACGACTTACCTCTTTGATCATGACACATGGCAGGTCCAAGTTCGCATCCAACATATACCTAATATAAATAATGTATATTTTGTACCATTTACATTAGCGACTTGTTTGATAATGATTTCCACGAAAGAAAATCATTGTCTATATCAAAAGAATAGTTTGTACGGTCAAAATCAACTTCTTCTGTATCAATACATTCTTCATTTTCAAGTACATAATCTATATTCCTAAAATCCTCAGTCTCTTAACATTATTAAAAATGTCATTGTATTGTATATAAAATACAAAAAGAGGACATATAGTCAACTGCGGAGAAATGATTTTAAAACAGCAATTAAAATAAGGATGTAATTAAATTATAATAATATGATTCTTAATGATTCAAAAATGTAAAAATAATGAGTTCGTGCAATAGATGAATGGTCTCAGCCAACTAGGTCGAGATGGACCAACAAGACAAGCTAGGTAAATTGAAGCAAACTAGGAGACCACTTGGCAATGAGAGACCTGTACAAAGAAACAAAAAGTCTTACACTCAAGTCAATTTAGAGTTCGACTTTAGTATTAGTTGAGACAAGTATTGGGTACGTCGATATTAAGCAACAAAAATTTCAAAAGATAACCATATTTAGTGATCATGTAAGTAATATTTTGGTTATTTACTTTTTAGTACAACAATTTTATGGGAGAAAAATCGAACAATTAAATTTGAAATGATAATAGGTGCATTATCCATTGAACTATAATGGATTGATACGTGTTAGCAGAATATTAGAGATTAAGGTCTCATTTATTTAATTAATAAATTAGAATAAAAATTAATAGGAATAAAATGAGTTAGAATGAGAATGTAATAAGACTGTTTACTAGAAATGTGTTATTTATTAAAACTATCTAGAATCCTAATAAGAATTAGATATATTATAATTACTACAATACCCATTTTTTTAATTTCTAACTAATTGTAACTATATTAATTAAAAAGTCGGCTAATATTATTTTTAAATAAAATAATAATAAATTCTAAATATCAATGCATAACAAATATTTAAATTAAAATAGAATTATCATTATTTTTTTAGACATGTTATAATAATAAAATTTATTAATGTTTTATATAATTGTTCTAATATAATTTGATCTTTTTAGTTAATGTTATTTTAATTTAAATATTTGTTATGCATTGATATTTAGAATTTATTATTATTTTATTTAAAAATAATATTAGCCGACTTTTTAATTAATATAGTTACAATTAGTTAGAAATTAAAAAGTCGGCTAATATTATTTTAAATTAAAATAATAATAAATTCTAAATATCAATGCATAACAAATATTTAAATTAAAATAACATTAACTAAAAAGATCAAATTATATTAGAACAATTATATAAAACATTAATAAATTTTATTATTATAACATGTCTAAAAAAATAATGATAATTCTATTTCAATTGTTTTATTGATAGCATACGCTAAATACACTAAATAGAAGTTCATAATATTTGATAATAAAATCGCATCAACTAATATAAAAAGTTGTATAATTTTTTTTAAAAGAAAAATGATTAGTAGTAAATAAACAAAGAAAAATTATTATAGAGTTCAATCAAAATGAAATATAAAAAGTAAAAGTCTGTCAATTAATTTTTGAAAAAGTGTGGAATTTATAAATTAAGGAATGATAATGAAATTGATAGATTGTAACTAATGAAATTACTGTCGAGAAGAGATTATAAATTTGAGGTGAGGTACACGTTTTGATTCCATTCCTAAACACTACCAAATGTCAAATGGAATGAAAGTTAAATTTAGAATTTAAGTATAAATGTGTCTCTTTTTTTTTGTTTGTCAAAAACATTAATTGAAAAAGAAAAAGAAAAAGAAAAAGAAAAGGGGGGGAGAGAGAGAGCAGATTGCAGAGGCTCGACGACTTGTCCCTCAAGATATCTCGTTTGAGTTTTTTCAATAGGAAGCAACAGATACAATACTGGACTGGACGACGCCTATTCCATTCCAAGCTTCTAATCTTTCTCTCATCTCTCTCTCTCGAGGTTCTTAACCCCTTTCTTCTCTCGATTTTTATCTGCCCATAGTTTATGTAATGTTTCTCACTCTCGGTTATGCTTACGATTTTGTCTTCTGAATTGGGGTTTATCTGATTGTTTGCTTGATAATGTCTGCTGGGTTTGTGATTCTCTTCAAAATGAGAGTATTCTCTGCAAAGAAAAAGGAAAATTGTCTGAATTCTTCCATTTCTTTTCGATCTGCTCCCTTTTCTTAATGGCATCTTCCCTTCGGATTCATTCCTCTAATTGTCGTCTTTCCTCCCTTTAGTTCCTGTAATTAACTTAAAGATAGAAACTTGGATGAATGTGTTTATGCAGATGGAGAATAGTGGGAGTGGGTGTTATTCCTTTTATCATGGTCTCCTATTTTGATGTAATTTTGAGAGACATCTATGATCTTATTGCTAATGGATCTTTCAAAACTTAAGAGACGTTCATGGTTGTATTATTAATGAAATTTAGCTTTTAAGATATTTTATTCATGGAGTTATAAGTGACCTTAGAAGATGTGTATTTCGAATTTATAAAAGTTAAGTTAGGTAACAACTGGGATTTAATCTGTTGTTCTATAGAGGTTTGTGGTACAAATGTATATTATATCAATTTTCAGCAAGCTTCATACTGGAAGTTCAAATACATGACTATGTATGCTTAAAAAACCTTATAATATTTTAGGAAGTGTTGAGAAAACTTGTGTAATATGTGTCTGCTCAACCCGAACCGGCCCTTCTGGGGTTGGATAGGTGTCGACTCAAATTTCATTGGTTATTATACAATCAACCCAAAAAATTGGGTCGGATGACTTGGGTCTTTAAAATATTAATTTTCAACCAGAGAAATATGCCTTTGTAGGTGTATTTATCACTTGCTAATGTAATTTCAAAATTGTTGCTGATTTTACAGAATACTAAAGATTTGTAGATCAGTGTCAGCTTTGTGATGGCAACTGAACTGAAAGCAGTTACTGAGGAGATGAAGGTTGACCTCTTTGAGGATGATGATGAGTTTGAAGAGTTTGAGATTAATGAAGGTATGGCTTGTGAATCATTTGCCTGCTTTTTTATTCCTTACCTTTATTTGGATTCCTCCACTGATAGTTTTAATTTCACTCATTTTCCATTTATCAATTCTTGTTCTGCAATTTCTCCTTTGTTTCAGCCAAAAGAATGTGAATGTTATGCAACGGTCTGGATAATCCTGTTACTGACTTGATCCTAACTGCTAACGTTCTTCATTTGGAAGCCCTATTACTGCTTGTTCACTCATTATTTTGTAGTAAATTCTTAGAATTCAGTGTTTGAAAAGAATGAGCCAGAATGTTTTATACTCAATTACAACAGTAACTATTAATGAAAATAATATTGATTAGGATAAAAAAGAGTTGGAATAATGCATGGTTTTTAGAAGATACGCCCCCTTATGCAGTTATGCTATGTTGAGATGGGCCTTTTTCTCTTTAAGAGATCAAGTTCCTCTAGATGTCTGTTTGAAGTTAATGTTATAACTTATTAAAAAGAGTTAATAGAATACATATTACTTGTATGCTCAAAAGTAGTAAGAGTGGTACATACAGAAGTTGGATGAACAGCTTCTAAACGTAGTTTATGGTTTCTTTCTGAGTAATCTACAGATTTTGTTTTGATTGATGAAATGGCCTTGGCAGTAAACCCTTTTTTCAACTTCATATTTATCAAAAAATAAAAATAAAAATAATAATAATAGATAAATAAATAAAATAAAATAAAATTGATGACCATAAAGCCACTTCTCTTTGTTTAGTTGAAGTAGTCGCATTTCTTTATTTAGCAGAAACTGTTGCGGTTACTTGATTTTCAGGAAAAAAATAAAGAATCTTAAATCTAACATCCAGATCTTATGCATGGTTGCTTGACGGTGTTGTCGACTGAAACTATGATTTGAAGATCTTGCATATTCAGAAAAAAAGTTAAAGTGATAAGGAAGTTTTGGGGTTGTTTTTAATGGAAGGCATTATAGATTGCTGGTCTGTCAACAATAAACTCTCAATAGGTCTCTGGATTTTGCTTGCTTATGCTTATGTGATTTAGTCTTTCTTTTCTCAATAATAAACTCTCTAAGGAAATGCTTTCATAGATCTTTCGCTTGCGCAGTATGTGCTATGCATCTCATTCGTCACAATGTGATAGCAAAAATTACTTGTAAGTTTGGAAGCTACGTGAAGGATGTGATGAGACTCTCTTTGCCAGTTAAGATGAACTTGTGACTAGAAGTCTAGAAGGGGGTGGGGAGTTACTCTGCATTCTTACTCTTGTTTGAGAGCACTTTTCTTTTCTTTTTAGATAGGTGTCTAGGTCTTTAAGTATTGCTCAACTAATCTCATGGGACCACTGCCCGACCCCAATAAATCTATAGGATTTTTTCTAGGTGACCACCATGAGGTGTGAATGCATTTCTCCAAAGCCCTTATACTTTTTTGACGTGTACTATTATTCCTAGGCCAACTCATGGTAGTTCTTGTATGAGAGCACATAGATCGTAAGATAATTCTAAATGTCATGGTCCTAGTCCTAATCCTAGCCAGACATTACTAGTTAGCAGAGAATTTGGAGATCTCTTCCTTTTCAAAGTTCTTTAACAATTCCAATCTTCTCGGATGCTTATTACTCTGCTTCTCGTTCTTGGCATAACATATTTTTCGCTAAAACATTGGTTCTGAAGAAAATGCGAGTTTAAGCCTTATGATGTTTTTATGACCATTCCTTCTGTTCTGTTCTGATTGGTAAAATCAATTACAGAGTGGGAAGTCAAGGAAGGTAAAGAAATTACACAGCAGTGGGAAGATGACTGGGATGACGACGATGTCAACGACGACTTCTCGGTGCAGCTTAGGAGAGAATTGGAGAACAACGGTGAGAAAAAATGAAGAGACTTGAGCCACCTCTTGTTTATCTGCCAACATCTATGTTTTATTTAACATTGTTTTGACTTCAAGATGGTTTATGATGTCTTCTATCTTTGCAAATAGTGATATGAATATGCTTAGAAGTTATAAACCTTGTTAGCATTATTGAACACCAAGGATGATCGCTGGCCCAGAAGATAACGCATTTTCGTTGTTATTTATGATCTCTATGGTCTTTTAGTTAATTTGATTATGGTACATGCTTTTATACGTCGGTTAAATTCAAGTTCTGTCAAGTTATTGAAGTTATTGGACACTGATAAGATGAAAATTTACCAGTTTTTCAGGGTCAAAAAATTATATAATATTTTATAGAGGAAAAAATTCATTTATATTCCGAATTAATCTACACTCTCTATTAAGGTACCGTATAAGAATTGTTAATGCATAATTTTCATGTTTTATTTAAAATATAGAAAATATAAAATTACAAAATAGTAAAAAATTGGAATATAATATTTAATTTTACAGATTATAAGAGATGGTTTTCAACATTGAAATTTATAAAATCAATTTTATGTTATACGAAAATAGATGGAATTTGGATCAACAAATAAATGTGGTGGGAATAATAAATATAGGGAAAAAAATACTTTTGATTCATGAGATTTAGAATTGGTGTCTATTTAGTATATTTTAAAATAGACATTTTTGGTCTCTGAAGTGTAGAAAAATGTTTTAAGTAATTCGAATTTTTTTTTATCCATCGTTAGATGTCAAAATGACTGGAGTTAAGTTGGTAAATGTATGATGGGAAATTGGCATTTGTGACCATTTTTCTCCTTGATTTTTAACCCTTCCTAGAAAACCTCTTATTTTTTTTTACCCTCTCACATTCTAATTTTTTTACCCACGTTCCAAATTGCTACCCTTGTGAAATTACCTAAATATGCTCATTTTCCAAAAGGCCAATTTCTCCACAAACTCGGACGGTTCTCACCAACATACTCTCACATCCTCTACCTTTTTCTAACTTCTCAATAAACCTTTTCTTTTCCTTTTCGTTTTCAATTTTTTTTTTCCATTTTATTAAAACCTGCCAAAACTTGAAAACTTATAAAAGGAAAATTATAATATATATATGAAAATTATAAGAAAATTAATGATCGATCAATCCGTCAAAACAAGAAATAAAAAAAGGGTACTCAACCGAGTTGTATAAATCTCGGGCCAAAATTCATACCATTTCGATAAATTGCATTATTACCAGAGATTATGCAATTGTCCAACATTATGCAATATCAGTTGGAGTTGTATAATCTTAGATCGGATTATGCAATTCCATGGTTTGAGATGATGCAATATTCGGTTGAAATTGCATAATATACAAGATTCATGCAACTCGGTTGAATATATATTTTCTTTCTTTTGACAGATTGATGAACCATTAAATTTCTTATAATTTCCATTAAAAAATTGAAAACGAAAAGAAAAAAAAAAGAAAAAGAAAAGATGTTTTAAGTACAACATGTGAGGGCGGAGAATCAAACTCACAACTTCATCGTTGAAGGTATATACTAATTATCGCTAACCTATGCTCACTTTAACAAGAAAAGTTTATTGATAAGTTAGAAAAAGAGGAGAATGTGAGGGTACATCGGTGAGAATTCATTATTCTCATTTATTATTCACACAAGGGCAAAGATGTATTTTTACATTTGCAAAAATAAAAAAGCCGTCACAAGAAAGCTTTGAGGTCATAAATGCAAGTTTTTGGAGGAAGGGTTAATGGTTTACCTTGTTTTAAGGGTAAAGATGAATCAGTTAGGTGCGGTTTTCTATCGTTTTATATTTAAAAACCGTGTTTTAAGCTTAGTTTAGTATCTAAAACCTTTCATTCGGAGTTATCTTATGTTATACATGCATATAAGACATTTTTACATCATTTAGAGTTGATTTCTAACATAAATTACAATTTTGTGCAGAAAAACCCAAGCTAGGCGCTTGACGCCTTGTCCAATTCCAACAATGCTCTTAATGTCAAACAACGTTTTTGTATGTTTTGAAGCTTCCACGGCCCCTCCACGTGTCTTCCATGCATTGATGATGGGTAATTCAACGACAAACCAACTTAAAGATGTTTTAAAAGGATGGTTTTCTCAACCTCCTAACTAACTTGAAGCTCCCTATAAATACATCATCTCTCTCACTCCATTCATGATCCCAAGCGATCATTTTCAAGCTTTAGACACTTTACTTTCAGTCTACTACATTTTCCTTTAGTTCTTTAGTTGTTTATTTTAAAATTAGTTATTTCAAGTTTGCTCTTTACTTTTCAACTTGTTACTTTTCAATTGTGAGCTTTTGATCTTATTAAGTTAAATTCCAGCGAATATGTTCATATTTATTTCTCTCTCTTTATTTTCGAAGTTATAATCACACAATCTTGTGGAATTGACTGAGGACTGCACCACAATCTTGAAAGAGAACAAGTTAGGGTCATTCTGGATACAACACCACCATTTTCAGCTTGTTTTAATTATATTAATCTTTTAATCATGTCTCTTATTTACATCCGTGTTCAATTATGTTTTTCCTATGAAGTTATGAGTTAAATTTATTTCTCCAAGCCCGGTTATGGATAATTAGCTAAAGTTTTTAAAATCCAACAAGTCAAAATGTGTTTTTCCCTTCTTTTATCACTAAAGGTTGTTTTTATAAGTTAAACTTGATTTGGCCAATTAATGTTTTTCGGACCTCGACCTAAGGTTACAGTTGATTTTTATTAAATTAAGTTCAATTTTCTAATAGACATATTAGGGATGAACTTATACCTTCAAAATCACTTAGACATAAGAAGATGACGAAGCAAAACGGAGGAAAACTTTAGAAAGGCACCTAGCGCCTAGTTGGAAAAAGTTTACATATTTTTAGCTAATTTGAAGTAATTAGGCTGGGTGTGTTGCATTGAGTCTTAAAATACTAAAACCAACATTATCATTGATAATTGTTACCCAAAATCAATTACAAAGTCACCGATCAACATCATTTTTATTAGAAAAAGGCTTCATTTGTCCCTCTAGATTGATACTCGGAATACTCATTTCATTTCGTTTTACTGCTGTGTACACTTGTGCTCTATCATTTATTTTAGATCCAAAATAACAAAATAGTAAAAAATCTCAAGTCAAATATATTTGAGGTCAAAACCTCAATTTTCCTTACTTTGTTTGACAAAATATATTAGACAATTTATAACATTTTTCATAAAAGTGTATTTTGTTCAAAATTGTATACATTATAATTTCTTTTTGGATAGCATGTATGTGAATAAGAATTCGAAGATAAGCCATTGCTATGCTCATGCTGGCATATATACACATTAAATTTTTGTGATTACTATATTATTTAATCATAAATTTTCATATCTTTATTTAATGGGAAAATATAAGTGAATGAAAATACATTTGTGAATTTCAAGATAATTTGATTGAAGTTTGGATATGGACCCATATTAACGACATATTAATCTTTCATGAATTTTATAAATACAAAAAAGCAAAATTAGGCGTCGAGAATAACTAGTAATTAAATTTCTACTGACATTTACAAGTGTTATGGTTTCGACATCGATATGAGGGATAAATTGATATTTTTATAGTATTTCAAAAAAAAAATATCAAAATATAAAAAATATCAACAAACTACCTCTAACATATATATAATATTAATCATTTTAAATTTATAGTGAAACGTAATAATATTAATCATTTTAAACTTATTTAAAAAGAACGAAGGCTTATATTTATTAATTTAAATATGTTTTACAAATGTTTTATATTTATTAATTTAAATATGTTTTGCAAATGTTTTATTTTTATAATATTTTCAGAAATATAAGTAGACATTTTACCATTTCCCTGGACATTTAATCGAGATCCCGCCATCTACATTTAAAACCCCAAATCTTTTTTTTATTCAAAAGTCAAAACCCCTTTTCTTCTACAACAGTCGCCGTCGTAGCTCCGCCGTCGTCGGCTGGTCGCCAAGTGAGTGAGTTTTCGTTTTCGTTTTTGATGTTCATAATGTCTACGATGTTTCTCGCCATGCGATTTATTTGATCCGCTTTCTCCACACACATCTCAATCTTTGAAATTCGAGCGACTCTCCATCACCTCGATCATCAGATTCCACGATCACAAGTATTTTCAAGATTTGATTAAGGGAGAAATGAGATTCGGCTAAGATCAACGAGTCGAAAGAGTCATGATTTTGATGGATCATGTTAAAGATTCGACATGTATAAGATAAGACCTGACAAGAATTTATAATAGACCTGTACAATGTACCTTAGGAGAGGATGGCAACAACCCTTTCTAATGCACCCCAAACTCATTTCTTGGAACCACGTTGGACGATGTTTGGTCAGTGCAGGAGGAATTTGGAGAACATTTTGTGGACAGAGACCCCGCTTGTTTCGGTGTTCTTCTTAATCTTGTTCGAACCGGAGAGCTTTTCGTTCCTCCAACGATTCCCGACACCGTTCTCTTCCGAGAAGCTCATTAATACAGACTCCTCGACCAGCTTCGATCTGCCAGACATGTCCATTTAGACGGTGAGAATCTCAAACTTGCTTCCTCCATTACCGGTGGGACTCTGGTAAAACCAAATGCATTGATTAGAGCAAGTTCCAATTGCGGCTGATCTGTTGCCAATGGTAGAGTTTTCCATGTCTACGATTGGATGCTCCAACAGCATCCACTCCACTGCAATAGGCCAGCCGATTCATTTACCACTAGAAGACCATAATAGTGAGGTTGGCGACGCCTTAAAGCTTCAATGGGTGCCGCTGCCGAGTAGGAATTGTTTAATGGCCGCAATTGGCAGTGAATCAAGGCAACAGAATATATAAGCATATTGGATCTAAGAGAGAAAGACATGCATGAATTTGGGTGGTTGGCAACAAAATTCATACAAACTGAAACATGGAGTACCGTTAGCAGATGCGGTGGGGATTGATGAAAGGAACTGTGTTTGTGTAATAAACGAGCTTGGTTCTTTTAGTAATTTCGTGATAGTACATGCTTTTACTTACAGGTCAGTTAAAAAAAAAATATTAAAAAGGGAATGACTTTCTTGGACAACAATGACAGAGAGAATGAACAGAAGATGAGTTTCCAAAACTATAGAAGGGTGTTTCAAGACCATGCTTTTACCTGATTTGCATCACCCATTGTCGTATGAAACCTGAAACTGTGTCTTCAAGACAATGACGATCTTCACATTTGATTGTCGCATAACCTAAACTTTGAATTACTATTATATTTTTTTATCACTCTCATTGTTAATATAATTAGTTTTGTATATAGTTCCAATGTTTTAGCTTGAGTAGATAGTAAAATGGGGCCTTAATTCATTGAACTACCCTTGAATTGAGCACATCTCGGAGACCAAGCGACCTTTAGTAAAAGATGTATAAATTTCTAATAGGAAATTAGAGCAGGGTAAAAGTCTCATCATAATAATGTTTTGCAGAACTCAGGCCTCAAGGCCATAAAAAACATAAATAGTCTCTTTATACTCTAAAAGGCCTCAAGGCCATAAAAAACATAAATAGTCTCTTTATACTCTAAAAGGCTATTCTATGTTAGATTAAATTCTTCTCAACCAGAGCTTTTAGAATTCCAAATTGATTGGTTCTCGGAGTCCTTCATGTTCAGCCTTGTCCCATACAAGTCTAAGTCTTTGATTGATTTTAGGAGTTATTTATGTTAGATTTGTAAAAGGAATTAGCGATAGAAACACAAATGATAGAGCAGGATGCTTAACTTTATGATCTTAAAAAAAGAAGATATGGCTGAGAACAAAAAAATTGAAAAATGTGGAGAACAATGCATGGTTGATTGAAAAGGAAACAACTAAGGAAAGGGAACCTATTTTGTTACATGAATAGAGATGGGAATTAAGGGTGATGGTGGTGTCTGCCATACATTAATCTCATAGAGATCCTCATAATCCCAACGTCCTTGTGCAGTAGAATGAAGTGAAAATAAGGTGTCCCCTCCAACAGGAAAGCCATGGATGCGTCCTCCTCCATGTTTGGGTTTAACTTCAGCACCCAATTTCCATTCAGATCCAGCCCCACAATACACACGATTATATTTCGTATGGAGCAAAACAAGCTCCCTCCATGCCATCCCAGATTTGGCCCTTCATCATCATCAGAATTACATCTCAACCTTTGATCCTCAACAAAAGGAAAGAGTTCTTCTTCGTGATCACTTCCAAGCTGCATCCTCAAGTCCACGAAACCAAAACGACCATTCTTCTTCATTACACACACACAGTTCCTTTCCTCAATCCCCACTGCATCTACTAACTTTCCTTCATGTTTCAGATGGTAGGAACGACCACGTTCCCAACAACCCAAATGCACGTCTTTCACTCTTGGGTCCATTATACTTATAAAATTATTATTGCATTGATGGCTGCAGCTGATTGCGACCATTAAACAGTTCCTAATCGGCAGCCATTGGAGCTTGAAGGCGTCCACGCCAAGATCACAGCTGAAACCAATCTTCTGGCCTGTTGTTATGTCCCAAGCCCCAATGCCACTCATCTGCTTCCCATACGACTCATCTTTACAACAGCAGTACATCATTTTGTTGCTTGAATCGACTGCTAGATTTCCAGGCGTCACACAAGAAAATTGATCATTATCGTCTCCTCCTTCATGAGAAGTAAACTTGAATTTGTACTTAAGTTGTGCAGTTCGTGGGTTGAAGAGACCGATTCCACCACCACCCGTGTTTTGATATGAGTTGTTACAACCACTAATCAAGATGTTTTGTGAATCGCACCACTCCATACCCACAATCTTCATGTAATCAAGGTTTGCAGTGGGGAGTTGTTGGAGCGTCCAATCGTAGACGTGGAAAACTCTGCCATTGGCGACCGAGCAGCCGCCGTTGGGACTCGCTCTAATCAATGCATTTGGTTTCAGCAGAGTCCGGCCAGTTATGGAGGATGCAAGCTTGAAATTCCCAGCGTCTAAGCGGACATGTCTGGCGGCCCGAAGCTGGTCGAGGAGTCCGTAGTAATGGGCTTCTCGGAAGAGAAGGTTGTCGGGAATGGTCGGAGGAACAGAAAGCTGACCGGTTCGAAGAAGATTAAGGAGGACACCGAAGCAAGCCGGGTCTCTGTCGATAAAAAGTGCATTACAATCCAGATACCCACAACCCACCAATATGGTTCTGAGTGGCGAGTCTGCGGCGGCTTTGTAAAGGGTTGCCAACGTCGTCTCAAATATCTTCCCTCCAACGCTGAGTCTCAAACTTGCCATAGCTATCCAATTGCTGATAGCTGAAGCCTGATGCTATTTAACTTTCCTTTGTGGTGATTCTTCCATTTTCCATTTTAAGACTACTCTACACAGTCGGTTGGAATTCTAAGTTATTTATTTATTATTATTTTTTTTAGTACCGTTGGTATTCTAGGTTGGAACTTAAAAGCCAATTTAAAGTTATTTATTTCCTTTTACATGCATCGGGACTTCTCAGAAAGGAATGTGAAATGTTTTTTTTTTTTTTTTTTTGAGAAAAAAATCGAAAAAAGAGGGAATCAAACTACGTCTCGTGAGATTGGTATGATACTTATGAGATCTATAAGATTGATATTCCAATCTTTCTTCATTTGACTATAAACGTGACCACCACCAAAAATAGAACCTCATATTTCTTCTAAAAAATCTCCTGATGGTTCTAGAGCAGAAAAAATACAGTTGAAATGTGATAACTATCCAAAGGATCTTAAAAGACTAATTAAAAGAAGAAATTAAATTAATTTAAATAAATAAAAAAGATGTGAGATAAAAAATAGTTTAAATGGAGACATCTATAATCTATATTTATATCTATATCTATATCTATTAACATATTAAAAAGTACGGATGTGGAAGAAATTTTTTTTTTTTGACAATTTTGATCCTTACTTTTTTTGTAATATCCAAATTATCATTTTCTTCAATTTATGTTTCCTCTCATCCATCCCTAGTGAGACTCCCATCTTTTCTCATTTATCCCTCTCTTATTTAATTATAATTTCTTTTATCTCATTAATTTGTTTCTTTAAAACTCCTCTGGTTAACTTTTGATTTTCTTTCTCCAACCATCTAAATTCTTGAAACATTATTATATCTCAAATTAGTTAACAATTTATTAATAATTAATATGATAGATTTAAAATATTATTTTCAAACAAAATTAGATTCTAAATTTAGTTTTGTATTTCATGAAAATTTAAATATTATTCTACAATGTAATAATTTATCTTTGAAATATTATTTTACAATAAAAAAATAAATTACTAATTAACAAATAAAATTATATAGATCAAAATTGACAAAATATATAATTAAGAAGTAAAATATGAGAATATCTATATTTTTAAATTGGGATATTAAAAATCAATTTAAAATTTCATGAGATTTAACATAAACAAATTATGAATATTGAACATTTTGTTCATGAGAGAAAAAATTTAAATACTATTCTGTAATAATTTGTTTTTGAAGTATTATTTTACAATAATAATGAAAAAATTAAATTAATAATTAGCAAATAAAAATTATATATATCAAAGTTGACAAAAAATATATTATTAAGAAATAAAGTATGAGAATATTCATGTTTTTAAATTGAGATATTAAAAATTTCCTAAGATTTAACCTAAATTATGAATATTTAAAAAAAAAATTTGTAGGGAACAAAATTTAAATGTAGCACAAAGTGGATTAAATGAATGAAACATGAAAAATTAAGAATATCAAAAGTTGCCTTTATTTATATAAATTAATTTTTTTACATTTAATTAAGTTGAATGGTGGAATATGAAAAGTGTCAGAATCTCAAGTTTTTTTGTAACTTTTCTACTCCCTACAACTATAAAAGTGGTTCTCTTCCTCGTAATTTTCACACTAATTTGTTCCTTTTTTTATACATATTTTTTTAATTTTTTTCCTTTAGTTCATCGTGGTTTCTAGATTTAGTGATAGAATACTAACATTTTTTATGTTGTAGAGCGGTGTTGTTTAGCAATTGTTGATCATTGTGTGTATCTTGCAGGCATTTGTCCGTTTGATCTCAAACATCGGTAAGAAGTAAATATATTTTATGGAAATATAGGATAATCGTCTTGATTTCGTTCTTCAATACTATTTTTAAGTTTAGACTATTTTGTAGTTAATTTTAATATCATTATTTTTTATTTTAAATATTGAAAAAAAAATTTAAGGAACAAAATTTAAATGTTGTAGTTAATTTTAATATCATTATTTTTTATTTTAAATATTGAAAAAAAATTTAAGGAACAAAATTTAAATGCACCACAAGGCACAAAGTGGATTAAAGGAATGAAAAAGGTCGATAATACGTAATAAATGGTAGAGGGAGAAGTTGAATCTTGGTTGAAATACTTCTCTTCTTGTTTAATTCAGAGTCACATAATCTATATATACAATCAAGTTTGTAACAAACTGTAACAAACTGAACCGTTTAACTCCAACCTAGATTAATTAAACCACATATAACAAGCTATAGTTAAATCTAAATCTAAATCTAATACTCCCCTCAAGATGGAGTGTAAATATTATAAACACCCATCTTGGACATTAGAAACTTGAGAGTAGGAGATCCCAAAGCCTTTGTAAACATGTCAGCCAACTGGGAGCTAGAACGAATAGGCAAGAGTTTCAAAAATCCATCAGATATCTTGTCACGTACAAAATGGCAATCGATCTCGATATGTTTGGTGCGCTCGTGAAAAGTCGGATTGGAAGCAATTGACACAGCTGCCTGATTACACAATAAACCACCGCGGGTGCAGAAAAGGGAACAAACAAGTTAGAAAGTAGCTGATGAATCTAGACCAACTCACTAGTGACACTGGCCAAAGCACGAGATTCAGCTTTAGCAGAAGACCGTGAAACAGTGGGCTGCTTCTTAGAGCACCAAGAGACCAAGGATTCTCCAAGAAACACACAGAAACCGGTGATAGAATGACGCGTGTCTAAGCAAGAACCCCAATCAGCATCAACAAAAGCTCGAAGATTAAAAGAAGCAGACTTCCATAATAAGATACCCTAACCGGGAGAGCCTTTAAGATATCGTAACAGATGATGGACAACATCTAGGTGGCCAGAACAAGGTTGGTGTAAAAAACAGGCTGAGCTTATAAACGGAAAATGAAATATCCAGACGAGAAATCTGCAAATAGAGCAACCGACCAAGGAGACGACGATATGAAGTAGCCTCTTTATCGGAAAGAGGTTCACCAGTAGATTTGGCAAGCTTAAGATTTGGATCCATAGGAGAAACAGCAGGACACCAGTGTCTTCGAGAATCTGAAGACAATATTTCCGTTGAGATAGAGAGATACCACGAGAAGAGCGAGATATTTCCAAACCAAGAAAATATCGAACAGAACCCAAATCCTTAAGCTGGAAATATTACCGAAGAACGGACTTAACAGAATCAAGTTCAACAGAAGATGGTCCAGTCAAAATAATGTCATCAACATATACTAATAAAGCAATAAAAAAAGATCCATGACCACGAGTAAACAAAGAGTAATCAGTACGAGACTTAATAAACCATTCGAAATTAAGGCATGAGGGAACTTGGTAAACCACTGACGAGATGCCTATTTTAAACCATAAATGGACTTATTTAGTTTGCAAATAAGAGACTCCCCCTTACTGATAGAAGACGGTGTGTAACCACGAGGTAAAGACATGTACACTTCCTCAAATAAATCCCCATTGAGAAATGCATTGTTAACGTCCATTTGAGCTAAAGGTCAATCATACGAAGCTGACAAAGTTAACAGAACTTTTACCGTCACAATCTTGGCAACAGGGGAAAAGGTGTCAATAAAATCAATCCTTGGCGACAAGACGAGCCTTGTAACGATCCACGGTGCCATCAGCCTGATATTTTACACGATACACCCATTTGCAACCAATAGCATGCTGACCGTGAGGAAGGAGAACAACGGACCAAGTGTTAGTGCGTTCCATGGCAGCAAGCTCATCATCCATAGCCTTATGCCATTGTGGGAACCGAACGGCCTGATGAAAATATACGGGCTCAAACTCCGTGAAAATATTAAGAATAAATTTACGATGATCAACTGATAAATTGTCATAAGAGATATAATTCATCAAGGTATGAGGAGCACTTGGATATGATGCGAATCGGGGAGAAGTAGATTGCAAAAGGTTGCAATGAAAATCCCTCAAATAAGAGGGAGGATGTCGGGAACGCTGTGGCCGAGAAGATGGCTGAGCAAGTACTGGTGTGTCAACAACGACGGGTACAATGCCAACAACATCATCAGCCGTAGAAGATGAAGGTGGTACAGCAGATATTATTGTGGCATTCTCAGGAGACAGAGATGTTGTTGGAGGCATAGCATCACATGGGGCATCAACCGTGGCAACAACCAGAAAATTAGGCAAATTGGCAGCAACAAAAGGCATGGCAGCACATGTATCATCAAATATAGGACTTGTAGCAGCAGCCTGAGTGTCAGCAATATCATTAGGTAAGAGAGCAGTAGGTGAAAAAATTGATGAATCACCATCAAAGGGTGAAGGCCCCATAGTATCTGTTGGAGAAAACAAGGTGTCTGGACAATAACCAACAGAAATATTATCTGATGCAGCATATGGGAGAACAATATCAGGAAAAAAATCATCAATAAGAGATCCATCTAAAGGTCCCAAAGTGTGAAATGGAAATAGGTCCTCAAAAAGATAACATCACGGTAAATGAAGAATTGTTTCTTTGTGATATCATAAAGTCATAGCCTTTGACGCCAACTGGATATCCCATAAAAACACAAGGCCGAGCTCGTGGATCAAATTTAGTACGATGCATGGATAATGTAGATGCATATGCAAGACATCCAAACACTCGCAATGAAGCATAGTCGAAATCTTGTCCAAATAAAACCTGATAAGGAGAAGCATGAGATAATAAAGGCATCGGGGTGCGATTGACCAAAAAAATAGCAGTAAGTATACAGTCTCCCCAGAAACATAAAGGGACGCGAGACTGGAAAAAGAGAGTCCGGGCAACATTAAGGAGATGCTGATGTTTGCGTTCAACAACCGAATTCTGTCGAGGTCGATCGACACAAGAAAATTGATGCAAAGTTTCCTGTGAGGCAAAAAAACTCAGTAAAACGTAATTTAGGGGCATTATCAGAACGAAATGTCTTGATGGTCTTTGAAAATTGTGTCTCAATCATTTTAAAGAAGCGAGGAACTATGGTCAACACATCTGATTTAGCCCGCATAAGATATACCCAAGTAAAACGAGAGCAGTCATCGACTAATGTCAAAAAATATATATAACCATATGAAGTTGGTGTATTAAAAGGACCCCAAACATCGCAATGTACTAAATCAAACACGGACTTAAATATATGATTATTTGCTGAAAATGAAAGACGACGTTGTTTAGCGAATGGACATATATGACAAACAACAGAAGAACAACTCTCAGTGATTTGTAAAGGCTGTTTTAACGAAGCTAGGCGAGCGGGAGAAGGATGTCCCAAGCGTTGATGCCAAGTGTCAGCAGTGTCACGACATGCAAAAATAGAAACATTGTTGGAAATGGAAGGCAATGGTAGTGTGAGGGAATAAAGACCATTCATGCATTCAGCCTTGCCAATCATCTTCAATTGTGACCTGTCCTGCAACATGAGATATTGTAGGTGTGATGTTCTTTGGTTTTGCAGCCTGAAGGTGAAACTGAAGCATCTCCATTAGTTGAGAGTACTGATTAGAGCTTAGGCTGTTGAAAAAAGTAGGCAGATTAACAGAGGACTGGTTGTTAACAAAAGAAGAAGCACCATTATCTTTCTCATAAACCTGATTGGCAGCAGCATTACTGTTGGAATAAGATGAAACAGCATTACGGTTTGAATAAGATGAAGCAACATTACGGTTGGAATAAGATGAAGCAGGGGTCAAATATGGACGAGCAACAGCATGATTATTGGTTCGATATCCTGGTGGATAACCATGTAATTTGTAACATTTGTCGATTACATGGCCTCGAAGTCCACAGTGTGTACAGAATGATCGAGTGTCCTTGCGGTGGAATTGATTTGTCGTGTTCCTCTTGGAAACTTCAGATGCAGCCATAGCCATGGAATTGAAAGAAGATGTATTTATGCCTATAGCACGTTGGCGTCCTTCTTGTATCAGAAGTGAAAAAACTTTGTTTATAGAAGGAATGAGATCCATGAGTAGAATCTGAGCCCTGATATTAGCATATGACTCATTAAGGCCCATAAGAAAGACCATAACATACTCTGATTCAAGGTATTCCAATAGAGATTTCAATCCGTCACATGTGCAAGTAATCGCTGGTCGATATTCTGCAATTCTTGCCAAATTGTCTTCAGTTTCGTATAATAGGTTTCAATCGACATTGTTCCTCGCACTGTGGTGATTAATTCTTTTCGAAGTTGGAAGATTCGTGGAGCATCACTTTGCTGAAATCTTTCTTTGAGTTCGTCCCAAATATCTTTGGCTGATCCGGTGTAAATTAAATTTTTTATATTTAATTAGGTTGAATGGTGAAATATGAAAAGTGTTACAATCTCAAAGTTTTTTTTTTTTAACTTTTCTACTTCCTAGAACTATAAAAACTGTTATCTTCCTCCTCATTTTCACATTAATTTGTTCTTTTTTTTTATACATATTTTTTTCTCTTTAGTTCATCCTGGTTTCTAGATTTAGTGATAGAATACTAATATTTTCAATATTCTTTTTTATGTTGTAGGGTGACGTTGTTTAACAATTGTTGATCATTGTGTGTATCTTGCAAGCATTTGTCCTTTGATCTCAAACATCGGTAAGAAGTAAATATATTTTATGGAAATATAAGATAATCGCCTTAATTTTGTTCTTCAATATTGCTATTTTTAAGTTCGGACTATTTGTAGTTAATTTTAATATCATTATTTTCTATTTTAAATATTGAAATTTTTTTTTAGGGAAAAAAATTTAAAGGCACAGAAAGTGGATTAAATGAATGAAACATGAAACGTTAAGAATATCAAAGTTTTGCCTTTATTTATATAAATTAATTTTAAAATTAAATTTTCTACATTTAATTAGGTTGAATGATAGTATATAAAAAGTATTAGAACCTCGAAGGTTTTTCTAACTTTTCTACTTCTTGCGACTATAAAATGGTTCTCTTCCTCCTCATTTTCACACTAATTTGTTCTATTTTTTTATACATATTTTTTTCTCTTTAGTTCATCGTAGTTTATAAATTTAGTGATAGAATACTAACATTTTCAATATTATTTTTTATGTTGTAGAGTGTTTGATCTCAAACATTGGTAAGAAGTAAATATATTTTGTCAAAATATAGGATAATCGCCTTGATTTTGTTCATCAATATTGCTATTTTTAAGTTCGGACTATTTGTAGTTAATTTTAATATCATTATTTTTTATTTTAAATACTTTTACATATTTAAAAATTGTTAGGTTGTGTATAAGACAATGATTAATCTTTGATTTTATCAAATACATAGAAAAAAAAATAACCATCCTATCATTTTATTTTAATGATATACTTTCAATGAACATTAAATAATAATTTTTAGGAATGCAATGTAAAAAAATAATTTTACTAAAACAAATATACCATTATCTAAAGTTATTTTATATAAAATAAAAAGTTAAAAGTAACCTGTATCTTCATAATTAAAATTTTATTTGAAAGTACATTTTATTGTTAGACACACAATAACAACATTTTTAAGGCCAACAACAGTATAGCTTATTAATGCACGTTTATCCAACAACCATGAAGTTATTGTAAATATATATAAATTAACTTATTCAATCGAATAATGAACTATTTATTTTAATAAGTGTTACTAAATTTTAAAAATAATAAATGATTATCAAAATACATAGAAAAATTACTTATAATATATAATTTACTTATAATATATCCAGAAAGAAGGATGGACTTTCTGGAATCCATCTTGGGACTCATCCCGGTTCTAAATGGACCGGGACGAGGCCCGAGATGGAATCCAGAAAGACTATATCTTGTACTTCGACTTTCTGGATTCCATCCCAGGCTTCAACCCGGTCCGTTTTTAAGCAATATTRTTTTGTTTTGTTACAGGAGACATGGATATGACACTTAAGATCAACCAAGACGAYTGGTTCCCGRCCGYKCTGTCAAATCTCGCTCACGTAGGGAAAACCTCTTCTCGTCTTAAGGCTAGGTTAACTCCCTCTYAGTTAGACATGTTCAGTCAAACATGTTTTGGTCCGATTTTAGGGATGAACGTTGTATTTAACGGTCCKTTGCTCCATCACCTGTTGCTTARAGAGGTGGAGGAACCTAGAGACGACCTCATTAGCTTTAACCTATTCGGGAATAGGGTCTSTTTTGGGAAGCGRGAGTTCGACCTAATAACCGGTCTTAGACACACCATGAATAGGGTAGATGAGGATGTTCGTAACCGGAGACTTAGAATTCTGTATTTTCAAGACAAGGCGAGTGTGAAGTGTTCGGAGT